TACCACAAACGCTTTATCTTCTTAATTAAACAATCTTCATCAGAATGTACGAGTATTAAATAATCTAATAAGAGATTTACAGCTTTCGAAAGTCACGCTAGAGTTCTTGGACTTAGATTTCAAGATCGAAACAATCGACGAAGAAATTATGAAGATCTATCCATTCATTGAGGCCGTCAGATGCCGTTTGAGATATTTTTTAATTGATAATTTCAATTTTTACTTTTCCAAAGTATACTATAGTATAGAGAGGAAAAGCATTAGAATCGCTTCAACATTATGATTTCAAATATTGGTCGTAAAGTACGTGTTTATGGTTTTATTCAACCGTAACTGCGCACGCACGTCAGAATTAAGATCTATTAGTGCTGTTCCAAGGAGGCTAAGATTGGAGCAGGTGGACAAGAGATACGTGCAATTGTGTACTCATTAATCGATTTGCATATATGAATAAATGTCTGCATGGAAGACTGGATCACACATAACAATGTCAGATTTATAACTTTCGAGTTCAAACTGGGGAAATGGGCCAAGAGTAGTTGTGCCTGATATCCTGATATCATTAAGGTATTTAAAGTTTTGGGAATACATACCCCGAAGAAAGTTTCCACATTTTCTGGAAAATGGCTGACCTTTTCCTAGAATGTTTTGTCATATACAAGAAAGTACACATATAAGTATAGCACAGGTACTATTTTCACTTAAACCTTCGACATTTAGAAAATATTTTTAAAAAAATATATTTAAATGAATAAGGGTTTTCGTTTAGAAAGAAATTTGAGGTTACCAAATTTCGTGTTTTTTCTTTAAATGAAGTGCAGTATGTTTTATATGTTTCATTCGCATTAATTGTTAATCATTCCTATAGTACAAATATTAAAGTTCAATCAAATACTAAAATTGATAGAATGAAAATATATCAACCATCATTTGTTCAATATTTTATTATGCGAGTTTTAATCGACGTCGAAAGCTTTAGATATTCCTTCTTCGAGAAAACATGCGAGTGTAACGTTGTGAGAGAGGCTTTTCAAATGAGTTTTCGTAAGTTCGAATTGAATACAATATTTGAATTCAATTATTTATGAGTGTGTGCGAAAGCAAAGAGTGTATAACAATCGTCTGACATGGGTGTCGTTTCATGAACAAAAACCAAAAAAGTAGTAATAATAATAATGTGGTACATTACATTTTTAAGGTAACGTTATTTACTTGTCATATTCCCATACAGCTTATGTGAAAGGTTCTTGGTCAATAAAAAATCAACAACTTTTTCATCAAAATATTAAACTCTGGTTATACAGCAAAAGTGATTGTATTGTTACAGAATGTATAAACATCTATTTCATTAGTTATCGAGTCTACACTTACAGACGTAAAATAATGTTTTAGACGTCTCCATTTTCTGTACAGTAAATATGTAGAAAGTTTCAAACTTTTCTACAGCCACGTCCAACATACATTTAATTCTCGGCTTGCATCCTTGCTGCTCGAAATATATGTCCCAACTTTCAAAACAATTTTTCAGCTGTTTTGATTCTTGTCGCTCAGATGTTTTCTGAATTAATCCATTTCATTGTAGATATTTAAATTATTTTTACTGACAATAATATATTATTAATTTACAATGCGTACAGATATTGAAAGAAAATCAAGAATCATCCATCCACGTGAATGGTGTCTATGCTTTTGATGGATATTCAGTAACTGGGAACGAATATAAAACTTTCTTGCAGTGTAAAGAACTGTAGTGCTCTGTATCCATATGTGCTATACTATTCTATTGCAGTATTCGTGAAGTCTGTTTCGATTATTGTGGATTTATTGAGTGATCTATAAATATAGTCGACTATATTGATATATTCGGTCGTAGAAGGTACCCCCAAATAACGACACCAGAGGAACCTTAAGAGGGATTAGATCTAATCATAGAAAGTGATCGTATCTATCACAGTACATGTTAAAAACAACACTTACTTGTGGTCCTAGTCCTGCCAAATCCAATCAAATATAAGTAACTAGTCATTTTCATTTTCGTATTTGTGTTCAACAATGTTCACAGCATTAGTAAGAAATGGTCTCAATCATTTAGGAACTAAATTCCCCGGACTGCATAAAATATGAGGTGTTCCGAAGCTAATCTGACTAACTCAAATTTCTAAAAAATGTGGATAATAACATGGTTGTGTTCCAGAAGTAAATACTTGTCAGTGGTGAATACAACTAACTCCACATTTAACTGAATTGCCGGTAGAATTTTTCAACTGCTGTGGCAAATGAACATATTATTAGTTATACCAGAGGCCAGTATGATTAGCTCCTTGGCTCCGCAAACAGTCGATATTCCTCCGAACCGAATTCTTTTGAACTGTTTCGTATTTTCCAACTTTATATGTTTGTGTACATGATATTTCTCATGTTTACTTTCTTATTTTAAGCAATAAATAGCAATATTCAAACATAAAGTCTTGTACTCGGAGTCATGCGGTGGACAAATCCGCAACATCAAAGATATTATCTCTTATAAAATATATGCAAAATTAGAGTGCGAAAACTGAGGATATTGACTTAAATTTACCTGTATCGGGTCATAATTTCCTTCTGCATGATTCAAATTTTTCCTTTACTGGATAAAGATAAAAAACAAGTAGTCACTCTTTTCTCTAAGGATTTGGTATGATATCATTCTCGGCTGCAGAAAATAAAAACGTGTATTTCTTAACAGAAATGAACCATGACGTTCGACAGAAAACTTGAAAAAACGTATCAATCAACAGAATAAAGTCTAGAAGGTGAACCAGTTAACTGGCAGAAAATGAGATGTATCATGATTGAGAAGACTGAACAATTTCCTATCAAATATAAAACTACATTCTTTCGAGAAATAACAATTTGAAAAATTAATATTCCAAAGCAAAAACTAAAACTGACGTGCTTTAGAAAGTCTAGCTAATGTCCCACAAATAGTTTTTTTATTGCACATGAAGACCGATCTCCGTGGCAAAAAAAGGATGCAATAGATCACGTCAAGTTTATATTTTCTATTTATCACCACTATTACAAAAACGTAAACTCTGCAAGAGGTACCCTTCAAGAAGAAGCTGTCAGTGATGACTGCATCACGTAGGCAGAATAGAGGCAATGAACACTTTTTTATTTGCATTTTAGGCCACTTTTAGTATTGTTGAATTTATTACAATAATACTGGTAATTTTTGAATTGTAAAATGTTTTATATTTGGCGTATTTGTTTAATAAAATAACTTGTTTAGAAGACATTAAGAACATTATGTAAATAAAATTCAGAATTCGTCAATTCCTTTCAGTTGGCAATGTGACTAACTACTCCAAATGAAGTGGCTTTTTTATGGCAGATAGGGACATTGAGTATTTTAAATATGTTTATAAAGTGCTGTAAACATACCCATTATTGTAAAAAAATTGAGTTTATTCGAAATATTCTGAAAAAATTATAGACATTTCTATAGATAAAAAACTTTAAACTGTTCGTACTGAAAAACTTCGTTTGATGGAGTATGTCGATTTGGCTTCTGAACGCCTCAGATTGTAACAGTGTGGTCTACAACAAGGCCTGAGATGTTAAAGAATATTTAACTACTACAGTTATGTATCTTCTTAAAAACTGACTCTACTAGCACGTAATATTAGAAATTTAGCTGTGAATTGTCATTCGCATGTTCCTCTAAATTGGCTTAACAGCATTACGGAAAATTTCATGGAATTATTTCAGTTCAATGAAACAACGGTTTATAGAGTAAGAAGTGCTATCACCACATAAAAACTTAATATATTCCTGTTCATTATGTAATTTATCATACAATTTCTCGTTAAGTTGAAACGTATTTGACGTGTATCTCAAAAATAATTGAAAAGTAAATTTCTAGTTAAACAGCGCAGTTAATATTTGCAAGAAACATTATAGTATTTCCGAGTAATGCAGACCACAACTGGTAGGTCAACTGGTGGTCGGAGGCTGTGGGATGGTACCGTTGCCGTACGAGTTCTTACATTTGATTGCCAGTTGCCACTATCAAGAGTAATAATTTTCTTGCACAAATGAAAACCGCAGAAACTGAACATACCCTTTAAGCGGATCACCGCCGCTGAGAGAATCGTGGAGAATGTGGAAAGTGGTGAAAAGAATGAAGCTTGGTGGAGGTAATGCAGAGGACGAAGGCTGAGAGGAGACGATGGGTGATGGCGGTGACGATGGCGGTGACGATGGCGGTGACGATGGCGGTGACGATGGCGGTGGCGATGGTGGTGACGATGGCAGTGACGATGGCAGTGACGAAGGTGGTGACAATAGCAGTGACGATGGTGGTGACGATGGCGGTGACGACGGTGATGACGATGGCTACGATATGGCGGTGAAGATTCCGCGGAAGACATCTGCAACGGCGATGAATGGAAGGAAAGTGACAGAGGAGTAGAAGGTAAAGGTGACTTACGCGAAGGAGGAATATTATTCTTTTTAATAATACTAATACTTACTAAATTACTAAAACTATACTAATTTATTACTAAAATTACAATCAGTTTTAATTATTGCGTACTGCAGCCTAAGACAATCTGCCTGGAATGGATGAGTGATAAACTCACAGTGAATGATGGTGGAACAAAATTGAAAATAGAGAGAGAGGAAATAGAGCCACGAAATTAAAGTCCCACGATACCGCAGCGTTCAACACAAAATCTGCGTGGTTCGGCGTGAACTGGGAGCGGAGTATCCAGGAGAGGAAAGCCAGCGCGCCGACTGTTACGCCGCGGGTCCCCGCGATTGGAGAGGGTGCTTAGGACCGGCGACGGCTGCGCTCCTCACGTCCACGCCCTCGATTGACACGCTCGCGTTTTGCGGCATCTCAGCCCGCCCACGCCGCCCTCCCC